TTCACCTGGGCCCCGCAGGACTGAACAGATAAAAGGTGCTTTTCCTCTCCAAGCAGACTGGGCTCTTGGAACCCACCATGTTGGGGTGACTGCAGCGCCTTTACTGTCTCAAATCCTCATGTCCTCCTGCCCCTTGGGACTAAGTGGCAATGGTCCAATGTGAGGGTACTATGTCATCACTCAACTCAGGTTCTCTTCCCTCATCTTCTGTGTATGTCTTTATATAATATTTGATAATTATGGAGAACCAAAGTTCATTGAACTGAAAAAGACCTAAATGGCCAGGTAATCCATGTTCTCTAAATACTTAGCAATTAATCACGTGGTCCTTACCTGTACCTGGGAACTCCTGAACAAAGGTTGGTCATTCTACTTGGCGCTCCTCCAACTGTGAAAAGGTCTTCCTTGAGTTAGACCAATGGGCATCCTCACAAAGCCCACTTGTAGTCCAGAGGTTATCGTTCTGTCTGTTCATGCATGCATATAGCTTACATACACTGTGCTGCTCCTGAATCAATGGATGATAAAGACTATTCTAGTCCCAAGGGAGACACTGAGCCCTCCCTCCAGGTATTCCTCCCTGGCATAGCCTTGGCTCTCCTTCTCCCTCAGTCTGTCTTCACTGAGCTATTTAATCTATCTTACTCTTCATAGGTAGGCCCTGAATTGATTACTCTGTTCAATGAAGAATAAATACATCCCCTCTCCCAATCTATCTTAGAAAACATGTCCCAAGATTGGGCAGTAACATCACCTTCCCATTGGATTTTCTGTCAATATGAGATAAAACAGCTTGAGTGTTCGTTTTGGACTCAGTATTGGAATAAGCATAAATTTTGATTTGCACCTTGGGTGCTAAGGTAAGGTGCTTAATCTGTTAGGAATTTTTTAAAATCTCTATCCTGAGGACAGTTAGAAGAAGTGGTGTGAGCGTGCATGACTAATACCTGGTCCACACTTGGCTTACTCAGGGTGGGCAGTCTACAGAGCGATGCTGTCATAGCCAAGATCCTTAAGTCCTGCCCACAGGTGCCACTGAATAGTTCAGCTCTTTGGATATGGATGGAGGTCCATCCTACTTGAAATTTAGCTCATTCTATGAAGCCTGAATTTGTCAATCTATTTTCATCTTAGCCCAACAGCATCTGGAGTTGTACTAATTGTATTCTGTATTATCATCCCAGTAAAGTCTAAATGGGTTCAAGGGTCAAAGCTGGAGGTTCAACCCTGACCCCCTTTTCCCCCTTTAGATGGGCAATGACCAATCTCTCAACTACCATCTTTGGCTAAGCTCATTCAACCAGTCCCAACCTTGTGTGAGCGCCATGCTGCTTTATAAAGCCACATCAGAATGAAATCCTGGCTTCCATTTGTGTATTATTTTCTTTAGGGAATTGTGACATTGCTACAAAACATGAAAAATGCATTTTTTTCATAAAGTTTCTACATATACCATGCTTCCTGTATAAATCTGCAATCCAGAATGGTCTAGCAGATTATAACCAACTAAGATTATGACTTTCTTCAACAGAATAATAGTTTGAGGGAAAATTGTGATAAAATGAAGATTTTTATTTAAAATTGCAATGATAAGTTGGAAAAGTTTGCCTTGCCATTTAATTATATAGCATTAATTTGGGCATTTTTTTTTCTTTTTTTTTTGAAACCAAGAGTTCAAAGAACACAGATAACTAATGAAAATATAGCATTAGCCTGGCGACTCTGATAAACAGCTTTGGATCATCAGATTGAGGCCATTAGATTTGCTCAGGGGACCACATTGCCAGTGGGAAAGGGAGGAGTGGAACAGAGCTTCAGCCTTTCAGACGATGTACATTTTAAGGATACTTGGCAGGCCACAGGGTTTTAGAATGCTAGAAAGCCAGCCAAGATACCCATGGTGTGGTAGGTTCAGTTCTAAGAGTTCCATCCCCTAGACCACATGCTCTAGGTGACTGCTCTACCCAGTGCGCTTGGTTCCTGCAATTACAATGGGGCACCACTCCTAGGATTAAGTTACATTCTTTGGCAAAAGGAATTTTGCAGTTGAAGATGAAAAATAAGTGATTATCCTGAATGGGCCTGGACTAAGCAGGTGAGCCCCTTATGGGGGTCAGGAGATTTTTCCCCTCCAGTCTTGAAGGAGCAAATATCTGTGTGAACCCAATTCTACCAAGAGTCAGAGAGCTCAGGAAAGGATCCCAAGACTCAGGTGAGATTGCAGACCTGGTTGGTTCTTTGAGTCTGTGAACCAAGAAGCGAGGCACTCCACACCTGGACTCTTGGCCCATGGAAACTGAGCGATAATGTGTGTCTCCAGCTGCAGAGTCTGGGGCCGTTTGTCACACAGAGTAGGTAAGTGATTTGCAAGAAGAAATGCTAGCCGTTAAGCTGCCCAGAGGAGACTCAGGATGAAATGATTTTCCCAATGGCTGATTTCCATGTGGCTACAGAATAAACTTCCATGGATTTTATAGCAAATATTCTACAAGTAGACTCAGATTTTCTCTTCTCCTGTGGCGGTGGCTCTTAAATGTCAGCGTCATCAGAAATACCTGTGAGGTTTGTTACCTCCATGGTTTCCTCCCTCCCACGAGAACTTCCCAGTTGGTAGATCTGAGCACCACCTGGACAGGGCCTTGCTCTGAAAACCACTTGGGTTATAAATAAAGAAGCACTAATCATTTTCATTATTTGACTACTATTTCTATATTTCCATTTTATGAGAAAATACCTTGACAAGAGTTTTGAAACCCATATTAAAAAAAAGAGAAGGCACAGAACTTGATGTATCTGCCAACAGTCCAATTCTCTAACTAGTCAGTTCTTACTTTTATTTGCCAGAAGAAGAGACTAATTAAACCAGATTTTTGGGGAGTCGGCAGGGTTTTGTGCATATTAGTCCCTCAGCTATACCCCCAGTCTAAACCAGGATTTTACAAATTTACCCTTTCCACAGGTAAAGGGACAGCTTGGGGGCATGCAGGTTTCCCCATTTCCCATCATTTTCCCAGCACATGACCAAGGGCAACAGCTCCCAGGAGCCAGGTGCTTCTACTCACCTCACTGAGAGGTACATAGCAGGAGCCTTCCCACTGTGCCAGTCTCGACAAACCTGAGCCCCGCCAAGAGGTAGTGAGGGATCAGACAGAAGAAAAATCAGTCTTGACTGAGACTTGGTGATTTCGCCAAGTTCAAAGCCCCACAAGTGATTTAAGAAAAGAAGACAAATCTCTTGCCAGCAGGAGCTAGGTTATGTGGGGAGCACGAGTTTAAATGAGAGCAAGTCAGGGAAGTGGGGAAAAGTGAACTGAACGCGACATGGAGACTTGAAGGGGAGGTTGAGGCGATCCAAATGACCTGGGGACTTGGGAGTTAGATTATCAAGGGAGCAAAGCATTGATACTGCATCAAGGCAACTCCAAGTTATGATTTATTTATTCGAGGGAACTTAGTATGAGCTTATGTTATCCAAAGATTGTCCCAGTGGCTTACGCCTGTCCTTAGACTTGCTGCTAACCTGGATGGGGGAGGGGACCTAACTGAAAACATCCGTGAGAGTGCCCTAGGTCCAACGTGGCTTGCTTTTATTATTTTGCTCATAGTACAGTCTTGAAAGGGAGAATTGAGTGATTACCCGAGTAAATTTGTATATAGTATATGCAGAATGTAGGTGTGCCCTGACTTTGCATTCCAAAACAAAAATGACTGATCTTTTCCTTTAGAACCATCTGGGTTCCCCCCACCCATCCACAGTTGCCAGATTTCCTTTATTTTCTCCTAAGGAGATACAGGCGCTTTGGGGGGCTTTCCTAAGCTGCTGCAGAATGATTGATGGTTGGGCATCCCCTTTCAAAGTCTGTAATGAGGGGTGTCTGAAGCTTGGGTAATGATAATCTTACCAAGTCTACAGACCACTGCCAAAATACCCACAGCACAGAGGTTTGGCAAGTGCATTTAATCACAGCAACAGGATTACGAAGTTCAAGACAAGCCCAAAAACAACTATGAAATGGCCAATTTAGAAAGTGAGCTCAGGCTGTGAAGAGACTTAATCTTGCTCCTTCTTATGGGTGACTTGTACCACACTACCTTGGCCAAGATGGCAGCACCGTGACACATAAAAGATGTCCAGAGAAATTGAGTTTGGGTCACAGGAATACACAAAGCATGCAAGAAAGAGGTGGGGACATGGCTCAGGGCTGGGGAATCCCAAACCATGGTCCCTGATTGTTCTGGCATGGGAAGATCAGAACAACAGTGGGGCTGGTGAGATCCAGAGAGAGGAGCCAAGTGGCAAGCTTCGTGGTCCCCTGCTGCTTTAAAGTGAGTAATGACAGATGTCCATGGTGATTTGTTCACCAATAATAATTATAAAATTTTATTAAGAGCAAAGGCTGGTTCCCCATTCAACAAATATATGTTTTCTGGCTAAAGCAGGAACTAGGGTGGTTTGCAATCAGTGCAAAAGTGAAGTTTCTTAATTACAACCTCAGCTTAATAGGCCTCTTTGCTTTCTAGAAATAAATATGGAGGCTCCAACATGTAATCTTTGGTCTTTCAGTTGCAGAAGGGGCTAGCTATAAAAGACAAGGCTAGAGGGATTGGAGAAGCCAACACTGTGTGTTCAACATCTCTATTTTTGTGGTTCTGATTTCTGTAAGTTTCTGGACAATGTAAAATTATAACACAAAACCCACAACATTCAGCACAAAGTTCTATTAGGCAACTTTTGTCACTAAAAAAGTGCAAATGCAGACTCCTGTGTCAATCTGATTTGCCACGCTAGGCCAAGCTTATTTTATTACATACATTCTGCATTCTAAGAACTAGTAACTTCATATTGTAAACATTAAGCATTACAGAGTTAAAATTCAAGGCCACATTACATCATTGATTGTCTCTTTTTGTGGTGTGTCTTTGGCTGGCCGAGATCAACTCGTAGTGTATAAATGCATAAGTTATATAATTATTATATAAAAAGAAAAAAAAAACCACTGACTTGTATACTTCATTCTGACAAACGCACAGCGTTTGCGACTCGAAAAGAAAACTGGAGCCCATCTGCCCACAATGACTCTGATCTGATTGCGGTGACCATGAAGGCCACCTCTTACCTGATCCTCTGGAGGACAAAGCCCCCACCTAATGCTGAGGTCCTGAACAATTCCAGTTAAATTTTTCTTTTGACAAAGAAAGAAAGAGATGTGTAATTTTGGTTCTGAATTCTACTCCCTCCCTTCCTTCATTATGCCGTGTTCTTTCTCGTAACACTGAGGTTGATATAACACTGGCTGCATTAAACTTCAAAGTCTCCATAACTCATTCTCCACAGTCCCAAAGAGTCCTAAATCCAGGCTTTACTGCTTGAGAAGTTTCTTCCCCATGCCTTGTTCCTCCTTCTCCACTCCCTCCTCTTCCTCCTCCAACCCTTTGTCTCCAATCACACACTCATTCTGTCCACATCCTCTGTCCACCATTTGGCTCATAGTCCTGTAAATACTGTAAAGGAGATGTCACAGTTTGAGACAGCTGGTAGCTCTCCCTCAAATGGAATGAACTGGATTCAACCAAAACAGCCAACACCAAGGAGTTCCATAACAACGCCTCTTGAAGGGCCCTGTTCTCTCTCTCTCACTCTCTCTCATTTTTCTGTTTGTTTTGGTTTTGATATGTTTCTATTTTTAAATACAGGTAGTTTTCCTTAAAATGACATTACAAATGGTATGTCAGGCCAAGACTGTGTTATTTCTATTGCTTGAGTTGAACCCCTGTTTGCATGAGCAGGATTCCAAATTCTGCTCTAGTTTATACACTACATAGGCCACTTTCTTTGGCACTTGTCCTTATGACTTCATGTTTCTACGTTCAGCGTCTTTGACAGGTTGGACCACAGATTACACGTCCATATACAAGACATTTTGAGCATCTTTTTTGTTTCTGTAATAATACTCAGTAACTCCCACCCGCTATGAGTCTTTGGTCTCTTCCTGGCTTCCTTTCCCAGCCCCAGTCATTCTTTCATTTCTTGAGGCACTTTTGATTCGTGTTCTCTGATAGAGTTTGTGGCAATTTACTGGGTGATTGTTTGCGGTTGGGAAAGGCCGCCGTGGGGTCTTTAGTAGTAAGTGCCCAGGTGGGAAGGCATATGGCTGGCTGGGAGCCTCGTGTTGGGGTAGATACCACCAGTTGGTGAATTCCAGTATGGGTTTGGGGCAGCAAAAAAACTGGAAGAGGTGACAGGGAGGGCTGGAGGGTGGGGAGGCACAAAGTTCATCTTCTGGGGGTGGGCGTGGTAGGACCCCATGTACGGGAGGTCGGAGGGGTACTTGTACAGAGATGATTCCGGAGGGTGGGGCTGGAGGGCCTGGGCGATCCCATGGAAGTCAAACTTGTAGGCATAGCGCTTCCCGTGGACTTTGGTCATGATGTTTTTGTCATAATAGTAGCGGAGAGCACGGCTGAGTTTATCATAGTTCATGTTGGGCTTGCTTTTCCGCTCACCCCAGCGCCGGGCCACCTCATCAGGATCTGTCATCTTGAATTCCCCGTTGGTGCCTTCCCAGGTGATGCAGTTGGAGTTGGAGCTGTCTGACAGGAGCTCCAGGAGAAACTGCCACAGCTGGATCTGGCCACTACCTAAGGAAGAAGCAGGGGACAGAAAGCACCAGTGAGAACAGAGTCTGAAGTCGACACTCTCCCATCCAAGGCAGAAGTAGTGCTCTTGGTGAGCTGCCTGGATTCCAGGACCATGTCTGTCCCTCCCCCCACCCCCTTCCATCCCTGTGTGTCACTGCTCCTGTCCCTTAGTTGTTCACTTCTCCAGAGAGTAGCCCTTGGCTGGATAGGGTCTGCCTCATCTACCCCCAGGTATCCTGTGGTCATCTTGTGGCCCCTTTTTTCATGGAGGGGTCACCTCTCTATGCTGCTCAGGTCCCTGTGGGACCAGGTTGGATCAAGAACAGCTGCACAGCAGTGTTAAGGAGACCAGAAGTTTCCTTGGCTTTCCTCCTTTCCTGTGCTGCTTCTTCTCTCCTCCCCTCCTGAGATTACTCCTTTCGTGAATCACTTGTACCCGTGTCCTTATCCTTGGTTCAGCAACCAGGGGACATGGCCTAAGAGATGGTCCTTGGTCATCCTCAGGCTCATCTAACAGACCCAAGTCCTCTGTGGAATGCAGAGAATTCACACAGGGCAGAGTTCAAGTTGGCTCCATCCATTTATGACTTCCCTCACAGAATAGCCAGGGTCAGCCTCGTGTTCTGTGGATGGAAGACTTAATTGTTCCTATGTAGTGAGGCAGCAAAGGCCATTATGTGGATGGCAATAATGATGTAATACCATTTATATTGGCTAGATCAAGTAAAATAATAAACCAGATTTAGGAAACAAATATCTGAAAGTTTATGGAAGAAAATAGAGGATGGAAGTAAACACTGTTATTTCTAAAATAACATTTTGCTGGCACTCAGAAAGCAATTCTGTCAAAACTTTTCCTAGCACAGAATTAACCACTCAAAATGAGGAAGTTTAGAAAGAAGCTGGCTTCGTTTCAAACCAGATCACCCATTTTCAGTGTTGAAGCGAAGGCCTTGTGACCATAATCCATGTTGCCCTGCATCAAAATACCAACTGTGTTAGCAGTGTTTCCAAGGAGGACTGGTGACAATGAGCCATGGCAAGTCCCCTTGGGAAGCCACAGGGGCCTCTGGACTAGCCGGCGAGCTCACTGAGCTGGGAGTCCAAGTCAGAAATGGTGTGGATCCCGATGAAATGCATAGAGATCATTTTTACATCTCTATAACCAGAGAAAAATCTGCGCATTCTTTCTAGCTGTATTAAGTTGACTTAGGGCTCCATGAAGGAGAGAAGCCCATAAATACTGACAGTGATGTTGAGCACCAAGGGAAGCTAAACTGTGTGGAACACGTCATTAGGAGCTTTAAAAAATGCTGAGGCCAGGCCCAGTGGCTCACGCCTGTAATTCTGAATACTTGGGAGGCAGAGATCAGGAAGATCATGGTTCAAAGCCAGCCCAGGCAAATAGTTTGTGGCACCATACCTCAAAAAACCCTTCACAAAACATAGCTGGTAGAGTGACTCAAGTGGTAGAGCACCAATCTCGCAAGCATGAGGCCCTAAGTTCAAATCCTAGTACTGCCCACCCCCCATCCCCCAAAATGGTGGGAGGCAGGTCCTCCTTCCCAAACTCTGCTATAGTACTGCCTTGGGCTTACTTCCAAAAAGATTAGCACTTATGATAGGATAAGTATTTTGAATCCACGGGATCAAATGATGAAAGCAACGTGAACTGGTAACTCTTCAGGGAATTGATGTTCTATAAAATCCAATTGTAAATCTACTTTCTCCTGATTCTTCCCACTAGCTCCCTATATAAATTGTCCTGCTTGTAAACCCTTGTTTCCAGGTTGGCTACATGGAAATGGATGTTTGTGAATTCATCACACGACAGCATCGTGAGAAAGGTCAGCCTCTTTTGCATATGTTCTGGAAAAGATCATTTTCAGTCTAGCGACACATTTGAAATGTATTAACAGCTTGTAGTTCGTTGTAACGCAAGCCTTTGCTTTTTCAGAACTACATATACACACTGTTCTCAATCAAGACTTGTCGTCTCCAGTATGCATTTAAAAAATACAAGGAATGGGGATGAGAACACCATATGGTTTTAGTATACATATTGTAACCTAAGGATTAAGACCTGAAAAAAATTCCATAGGTGACCTGGGAATAGGAAAGGCATGGGTTTTGGATTTAACATTCTAACATATGCTTCACTGTAAACACACACAGTGGTTTGAAAATAAACATCCAATGTCCACTTCCTCCCACAGAGAGAGTACTTGCACAAATTTCACATAAATACGCAGACCTGCTGGAGCAGCCGACGTCACACTTTGCATCTGCTCAAACAACGCCATTGCTCTTAGGAAATTGTCCCTGGTCCACTTCTACAAAGGTGTGTGGGAGGGACCAGAGGAGAAAGTGGTCTCATACCGCCCTTGCTTCTGAAGAACTAGAACGTGGAACACTAAATCACGACTGAAGATGAAAGCTCAAAGGACAGAAGAGTGAATTCCTCCCAGCCCTGGGAACATTACCCCGCACTTAGAAACAAAATCCACCTGCTTCCCAGCTCTAAGTGTGTAAGTCAACGAATAGTCACATAAATTTTATAAAATGAATGTCCTATCAAACTCATTAATTATTAAGTTTAGTATTCAGAATCGAGTCTACTGTATTTGCAGTGTAGACAGCACCCTCCCTCGCCATGTGAGTATTCCCAATGACGCACAGTGTTTGCTAAGAATTCATCAACAGTAGATTAAGCAAGATATTCTTGATAACAAAATTCAAAGGCAACTTATTAAAGTCTTACTTTTACTGCCCGAACAGTGACATTGAACGTGTGATGCAGTGTGTTTTAGAATACAGAACAGGGCTCTCAAGACAGAATGGTCAGGGTCTGGAAAACCTAAAAGTGGCCGCATCATATGGAAAAGAGAATCATCGGCAGCTTGGCCAAACCGCCTCCCTTTGAGAAAATACTCCATACCTGTTCTCATCCTATGATGACATCCTTGCAATCTCAGGAAAGAGTTGCTAGTTTTGTCCTGGTAATCAACTATTTAAAACAAATATGACTGGGGTAAAAAAAAATAAAAACAAAGATTGGCTGCAGTGTCCCACAGCGGGTGGGAGGGAGTGGGGGTGGGGGTGACAGGGCAGAGGGCAAGCCTTCATTTGTGCAGAGAAAGCAGTCACCCAATGTGGTCAAAACCAAACGAGAGAGGCAGTAGCAATGACGTAGGTTGAGAAAGAAGGCAAAACCCTAAGCAGTTTACAAGCCACGAGAGAGCCGGTGACTCATGGGCTCAGTAGACAGTGTCCCAGGCAGGGCCCTGCAGTGGTCAGCTGGCAAGGACCAGTTGCCTAAAGAAAGTAACCAGAGCTCCAGCCAACACCAAGGTGGCTGTGGTTTGGGCACTTTCTCTGTTGAAGCTGGGGGGAAGCTCATGCCCAGCCCTGGACCCTCTGTAGGCAGAAGGGGTGACCCAGGGAAATCCCTAAGCCACCCCAGCATGGCTCAGAGACTGAGTGCTGGCATCAGCTAACCCCATGGTGAGTGCTACACACACCTCCACAGGACCTTGCTGGTGTCGCCTTCAAGGGAAAACTGCATGCTCACCCTCCTGACAAGCAGCCAAATTTCCCCACAACTGCTCAGTGGTGTCTCACCGTTTCATGTCCACCATGAAAGAGTATCCAGTTAGCATCAAAGAGTGCCCAAGTAGACTCCAAAGAATGCCCTTCCATGGAAAGGAAAGTTCAACTCAGTCAAGGTGCCCTACTAAACTGTCATTCTGATGGGACAGAAAGGAGCTGTGTGGCTTAGAAGTGATCCATGACATCAGAATGTGAGGACACGCTCTTCTCCATAGGAAACATGGCACCCTAAGCCCACACAAAATGGATATTTGGGATAAGGTGTTGGGGTGCTTATATGTAGGTATTTTGTGCATTCACAGTGCATGACAAAATCTTTCCTTTGAAAATGCTTTAAAAAGTGTTTGTTTTGTATGAAGAGAAAGGGCAGTGATTTTCAAGTGATGGATTTATTTGTCAGACACTAAAAAGGAGACTCAAAGTACAAGAAGCATCCTCAGTAATAGAAAGATGGAGGCCAGTATACCTGCAGGAGGCTCTAGGATATGGCAGAAAGTCACGTTCCTTGTAAACTAGATAAAGCCCATTTTTATCTTATAGTCACTTGACTGCAAAGCAAGTCAACTGGTTGGAAGCTCCAGTTCCCAGGGCCCCCTGGGACACGTAGTCCTCCACTCAGGATGCCAGCGTTGTGGCTCTGTCACACCCCAACCCTGTTCCTAGGTCTGGCCTCTGTTTCCTGTCTCCTGGCTCTGATTCTTTGTCCCTCTCCTACAGGGAGGACCTATAGGGTGCGGTGCACCATGGAGGTGCATGCAACCTGTGTGAGCTGCTGAGGGTCATGTGACTGCCTACACGTGGAGCAGGACCTCTGCAGTAAGAAAATATCAGCACCACAGGTATTTTGCTTAGACAATCTGTGTGAGTGAAAAGGCCAGTATCGACTTGTTTGGTGCAGCTGGACTCTTTCCTGCTGATATTTGTGACTTTGGGTTCATCCCCTCTGCCCTAACAGTTGTTCAACTGAATGGAAATCCTCCCTTTCTTCCTCATTCTCCAAAGCTTCCCTCTTCCTTTCATACTTAGTTGGTGGCAGTGTGGGTTCAAAACAACAAAATCAGACTTGGGAGATAATTAGATTTCAAACTGGACCTCCTTCATATTTGGCTGTGTGACTTAGATAAAGTTACTTGACTTCTCTGAGCCTCAGAGTCCTCTTCCATAAGATGGAGATAATAAATTTCCAAGGCTGATCTGAGGCAGAGAGGCAATCACAGGCATAAGCACATCCCACAGTGGGGGGATCACACAGGGGGACGGGGGGAAGCTGTTGGATTATTATTTCCCATTATTGTCTCACCATTCCCAGAGCACTACAACTCCGGTTTATCTTTTTTCTAATCTGTCCCGAACGCTGTTGCTCTCCAAGCAGGACTGAGGGTGATCATCTCGAAACGTGGCTATTATTTGTATTAGAATAGTTATGGGGCAGTTACAAATGACCACTTCAGCAGAGGCATGGGGAGGCACCGCTCAGGGGACCTGACCCCCAGTTGGATGCCACATAAGCGACAAGAGCCTGAGGCTCTGTGCCCCTCTCTACCGTGCGAAGCTCCCTGGGGCCAAGGACGGAGTCTCCTTACTCCTGACGTGCATTTATCCAACAAATAAGTGTTGAGCACCTAGCCAGGTGTCGGTGGCTCACGCCTGTAATCCTAGCTACTCAGGAGGCAGCGATTAGGAGGATCGAAGTTCAAAGCCAGCCCAGGCAAATAGTTCTGTGAGATCCTATCTCAAAAAACCCTTCACATAAAAAGGGCTGGTGGTGTGGCTCGAGGTGTAGGCCCTGAGTTCAAACCCCAGTACTGCAAAAAAATAAAACAAGTGTTGGGCACCTTGTTTATGCCCTGCGCTAAAGCAGAAAAGAAAACCCCCTGTATCTCCTCCACCACTTAAAAATCATTTCTTGAATTAATTAACATTAACCACTTAAAATTATTTCTTAAAAATTATTTCTTGAATTAATTAACATTAACCAAAGGCCCTCAGGAATAACGGTTATTTCGCCTTTTCACAGTCTGGATTCTTCTGTAGGGAAGCAGGAAGCTTGAATAGGAGCCGTACTTTGGCTCCAGGTGTAGGAAATACAAATTCCAGCTTGTCCTTGCAGTGTGGATGTGACACCTTGGCACTGAACTTGCAGTTGTGAATCTGTATCTTATGCTATGAATTTCTGAAGGCAGTGCCAGCCAGCACAGCTGGTTCTAATCTGAACACAAACAAACAGAGCAATTCGGTTGGCACTGAAATTTGAGGACAGGTGACGGTCCTTGGCCAGGAATGGGTTTACAGAAGGGTCAATTAAGAATCCATTCTTTCTCCTAGCACTGAAATTCAGAAACAGACCACCAAGGGTGACCCTAATTTGAAGTCTTATGATGGTAAGACTTTCCTTAAAAACGGGGGTTATTTTATCTGCTTGTGTAAAGGGGTGAAGTGTGTCTCCATAAAATTCATGTTGAAGACTTAACCTTTTTTTGGAGACAGGATCTTTATAGAGATATGCAAGTTAAAGTGACATTGGAGTGGGCCCCACTGCAATACCACTGATGGTCTTATAACAAGGGGACATTTGGATGCACACAGAGACAGACACATAGAGAGGGAAGATAGTGAGAAAAGACCCAAGGAGATGGTGGTCATTTGAAAGACAAGGTGAGAAGTCTAAAAATATCCTCCCCTCACAGCCCTCAGAAGGGCGGCCCCATGACGTCTCGATTTCCAGCTCCTAGAGGTATAAGACATCATTTTTTGTTATTAAGTAGCTCAGTCTTTAGTGCTTCACAACAGCAGCCCTAGAAAACTGTCACAACTTCAATTAGGTTACAAATGCTCTTTGCTGAAGCTAAAATCCTAACCTGACCCAAATAATCCAGTGACACATGACGCTCAAATTGGCTCAACTGAAGGGATCTAATTTTCAAATTCAGTTGAAGGGTTTAATTTTCAAACTAGCCCCTGCCAAAAAGGCAGCAGGAACAAGATGGTCAGCCATAGCTTACCTGGATTAGCAAGGCGGCTACTTGTTGGTCCCAAAATCTGGTAAGGATCTACAGCAGAAAAAATAGAAATAAAGGCATACTTGTGACTTGGTGTGATGTGACTCCAAGCTGACTGAATCATGTTTTCAGATTTCAGAGCTGAAAAGATCCCCAACCCTCAGATCACCTGCCTCTCACTTCTGTATTAAGAAAAGATGTCACACAGGACCTCAGAGAAACTTCTTGCTGGAGGACTCCCAGGGGGTGGCAGAGCTTGGATTCCCCAGATTCTCAATACCAAGCCCAGCACTTTCTATAGTCTAAGGCTTGATCAGGGAAAATATGCTAAGTCCCCAGTTGGCCCCAGAGTCGTGTTGGACACATTCAGCTCGTGGCCAATGTCAGCCTTCCACCCTGGGCCTCACAGACGCTGGCAATGGGACACAAAGCAGGGGAAGACAGATGAAAAAGCCCATAGATCACAAAGAGGCTGCCTCCACACACACAGAACGCTTTGTCCACATGCCTTTGGCCGTGTTTTAGTGACATCTCAAGAGATGATGATTTAGTCCTCATTTTCCATATGGAACAGTTGTAAGGAACAGAAACATAGAGCTAAGATCACTTAAGAAGTAACACATTTCAGAAAAGCCCTGCAGAGCCTGACCCTCACCTGGCTGTTGGGATGGCCTCTGACACGTACCTAACTGAGGACGCTGGTCTTCCGTTTTGGGCACTGTGGAAGGAGATGGCTGAGCAGCTGAAAATCCAAAAAAAAAAAAAAAAGAAAAAAAGACAATTAGCTAGAACTGAGATTTGTCCCATACTCTTTGGCGATGCTGGTTTTGCAATCCCTCCATCAACTGTGTTACTTATTAACATAATAGTGTTACTCTTATAATAAGGATCTTATGTAAGGAAAACTCCCCTTTCTAATGGACCCAATCCAAACGTTGTAACAAAAAGCAGGACATTTTCCATTATTTAAAAAAATTGTTTATATCTTACTACTTCCAAAAACAAACAAAAAAAAAAAGAATTTTAGATGGCTGATAAAACAGAATAAAATGAATCACAGTGTAAAATAAATAGATAAGGGGATATCACCAGGAAAATAAAATAAAGCTGTGTGTGGCCAAAATTAAGGCAATCACTAATTAGTTCATTGTTACTCAAATGTCCCGTGAAACAGCTGTTTGTTCCTGGTGAAACTCAGAAACTCATTCATTTTTTTCTTTCTGCTGTGAAAGTAGGAAAAATCCACACACAGAGTGGGTTCCTTTAAAAATGAGTTATATTGTATTGGCAATGGAATAAAACCTTCATATGTTGAAAAACCACAGATTAGCCACAAAAACTACTTTTTACTCCGTGGACAGTTATCACCACCTTGTGACATGCAAACCAATCAGGGCCAAGTCTGTACCTTTTGACTGAGGAGTGGGGTGGCCATGGCCGGTCCAGGCTGGTCTCCTGGGAGGCTCATAAGGTAGATCTGTAAAGACAAATGAATTGACTAAAAAAAAACATCAATCTTGTCATTTTTATAACAGATTTTTATACTTTTCTATGTTTCTTAGAATACTATTGTGTAAAAAGTCTAGTCATACAAGGAAATACTCAACCTAGATTTCATTACATCTGGGTTTTGTTTATAAATTACAATTTGTATATTTTGTCGATCTGAAATTCTCTCTTCTGGACTGGGAGCTGTAACTCAAGTGACTGAAAGCATTTCCCTACAATAAGAGGTCAAGACCTTATTAAAAGTTTTTTACAATCCAAGTCATCTTGGGACCGACCTAAATTTACCCCTCTATCATCTGAACCAAAACAGAGGCCACAATGTGGATGAACCAACCAATTACTGGTTGAGGTCGGGGCTGAATCCACCAATGGCATTCGTGCTTTTCACTCTCCTCGCTCTTCCTTGAAAATGACAGCTGCCTTTTCCTCCTCCTATCTGGGGGTTGGCTCCTGGGTTTTCCCTTGACAGACTCACCCATTTATATTATCAGTCTTAACTGGTCTGCTTACTTTTCTAGGCAAACATCTACTCTTTCTACTCTTCTAAATGAATTTAGAATTTCTCCAAAATCAATAGCATGAAATGAATTCCAGGACTGAAACAGAATTCTCCACCCATCTCACACATTAGCAATGACCTTCAGAGCTTAAGTATATGGCAATTATTTCTCTGCTTTTTCAACATAATATGGAGTACCCCATGAACCTTCAGTGTACTTTGCATATGCAAATTTAGTAGATATTCTTCTGCATCCTCATTGTGAGTTCTATTAATGATTTTCAAGTTGTTAAGTCATTCTAAGTTTCTTTCAAAAATATATTCCAAAAACATTATTTTGCCGGTGCTTACCAACCATGCATATGTACATCTATTTTTAACGCAGGTTTATTAAAGAGCCATTCCAAAAGTGTCCCTTCTTAGACTGATCAGTCTCAGCTCATTCTTGGCCAATTGAAAGCCACAGCAGATACGTCAACAGGTGACATCCATTAAAATCTCACTTGGAGGACAGGACAATGCATTTATTTTAAAGCTTCTCTTTAAACAAATCATTTAACCTCATTTAAAACTGGCAATCTGGCAGGACAGTCTTCAAAAAGTTTGACTATGTTACAGAATATGTGTCTTCCTATTTTCATATCCCAAAGAGAACAGAAATGATATCCAACACGAAACTCAACACACAATGGCCTTAATTTATTTGGTCTGTTTGGCTGCAAGCTTTGCGGCTCGTGTGGTCGGTGAAATCCTACCCTCCCAGGCTTTGAAGGGTTAGATAATTTTGCTTTTCAAACCCTGCTGTAGTTCACTCTCTGCTGCATTTTGCATGTTGGGACTTTCAGCTGTTCCCACCCAGGTCCTCAGAGTTTCACTTTTCTGGACTGCACATGGGAATTAAACAGCAGCTATCAATTTACAACGAAATTTCAACTCCAGTCCCTGAAAATATTTTGCACACAAATTCTCAACCAGTTGCATTTTTTTTCTAAAAAAAAAAAAAAAACCTTTTTTTTTTTTTTAAGCCAGAGTTTCGGTATGAGAAATGCCTCAGAAAGAAGACTGTATTATTGAGGCAATCCTAATGCATCTAGCCTAGTTCGGGAGCAGACAGCTATGCCACAAAGGCATCTGTTTAAAAGTGAGATTACTACAGAAGTATATCCTAGACCCTTCTTTATCAAAGTGTGGTCTGTGTTGGGAGTTTTAGAAATCCATCATCTTCCCCCGAACCTAATGGGTCAGAATCAGCATTTTAACAAGATCCTAGTTTGCACACCGAACTTTGAGAAAGCCGGTTCTGGAGAGTTTCTACAGCTTTTCTAACAAACTAATCCACATTCTTGCACATGATGGTTACAGAAGTGATGTCCCCAGAGAGCTGATGCTACTTTAAAACCTGCTCAGGAGCTCTAGTGTGACTGCTTCCACCCAAGGTCTAGGAACCCACATGGAAAAGCCAACAAGCCATAGGTTTACCTTGGACAGAAACATATCTCTCGTGAAATGTGACTGGAAAAAATTAAACACCAAATTACTGCTACCAAAATATTTTGAAACTCTATTCATAAAATCCTTTTTTAGGCTGAACTGCCATGTCCCATCCTTCCTTGGAAGCAAGTCAGGATCTAAACAACACCAAATGGAGCCTGATTTTCAGCCAAGTGTTTGAGATGTTTGTGTGAACAGTGACTAACGTGCTCATGCACATACTGCCATGGGAGAGAAGGCGGCTTTTGTTTTCTTCCATGGGATTCTGGACCAGTGCTTCTTTATCAGCTACTGATCCCATGCTGTGGGATGTGACCTTGGGAACTGCTGACCTTGGGAACTGCTAGTATGAAGGACAACCAGGTGCCTGTTCTGGCAGCTGCACTACCTCACCTCAAAGCAAAGTGAGTTTTGAGCAGTTCTACTCTTAGATGCTTGAAAAATTACTACCCATGTGTCTTTGCTACTTATCCTTTATTGGTAGCCATGCACAAGAGTTCTAATAAGAATATATTTTACATTTAATTTTGGATGATCATTTCAACACCCTCTCCATTTCTCTTCTTTTATCTTCCGGTCATTAATTCATATACTTGTGTAGTGAAAGCTTCTTTCTGGCATTCACTCTGCTGTTTTATCTGTAGAGGACTACTTCAAAACTGATCTCCTAGACAGCATGGGGTGGCCATAGAAGTATAGTTTATTCCAAGATCTAGACTGAAAACCAGCATGAAGACACTATCAGAGAGGATGACTAGTGTTTACTCCCTACCACCACTCTGTCAATTTCCTGGGAGCTGGTATCAGTTTCTGATGCTGGTGGAAGGTCCTCCCATCACATCCTTCCTAAGATTTTAGCCAATCAGAACAACTTCCTGGCTGCCTTTTCCAGGAGGGTTAAATTCCACCATTCCTTTCATTCAACTCATGGGAGAGAGGGCCCTCCAGCTCTGTGCCCTCCACTCAGCCACTTTACTTTTTGAAGGACCAGGACATGGATCATGGAAGAGCTTTTCCTCTTTCTATAGGAACCATGCCATGTTTATAGGAACCAGCCCCTTGTGGGGCTGAATGGGAAAGAATGGGTTCTGTCCTCTTTCATGCACGTGAATGCTAATGGGGAAGACTCATTAGTAGGACCAAGAGCTCTTGTCCAGAACTGAACTATAAGCCCCTGTGAAGTGGAGGGAGTCCACAGTCAACAGTTAACACCATTCAGCTGCTCTCTGGTCTGCCTCCTAACCTTTCTCAAGTCTTCTGAAATCCTGTATCAAGGACATGAAGATGGGGCCATTTGCATTCCCTCTCTCTATCTCGATGGTTGTATCAGAGCTGGGGGAAGCAAAGAATGCATTGGAGCCACCAAGGCTTTACACAGGATGGTACCTGATGAGCGGTGTGAAGGACTTCATTGTCTTTCCACACTTGGTCATGCTGAGTAGCACCAAAGCGCGACCTCTCAATAGAGGAATAATTTAGGATCCCAAGAAACCCCCAATGAACACCAGCTTCACAGTAGCAGTCAAGGCTGTACTCTCTGGTGTCTTTCCATAATATCCCAGGTGATAGCAAGACATACAGGTTATCATGGTGATGGAGGACGAGAGGAAGGAACTATGGACATCTTCCTTGTGACAGGACTGAGCTTTCCCATGACCTGTTCCTCAGAGGCCAGGCAGGTATTGCGTCGTGTCACACACTAGCTTGTGAGACTCTGTGAGTCATACCTGTCTCTGTTTTTGTTAATTTACCCTGAGACCTCAAGGAGCTATGGCCTCAGAAGGAGTGCATTCAGCAGAGAAGGGTGCTTACAGAGTGGGTGGAGAAAGTGTTTCTGGTAGCAATAGCTGAGAGACAAAGAAAGCCTCAGGACGTAATGACCATAAAATCCCAGAATGTTAAATGCCATGCTACCATCTTGTAGAGGAGAGACAAATCTCGATGCTAATCCAACAGCTGGCTAGGAGGAAGGTATGTTTTGAATTAGGAAAATGTGGAAAAGTACCAGGAACAAGCATGGGAGGAGAAGCGGTGAGATGAGGGCAAAGCTCACAGGAGGTTCCCTGTGAGGCCACTACAGCCGCCCACCTTGAGGTGCTGAAATGGCTCAGTGTAAAGGTAGACACGGCAGCTTAAGCAGCGATGGGGTTCTGGAATAAGTGATCCGTTTGGGGAGGCTGGCCATAAAAAAAAGGAAAAGGTAGATTGGGGCATCAGCCCAGGCCTGAGTGACCTAACACAGGAAGGAAAGGAGGGCGGGGAGGGGAAGAGGCACAAGGAAGCAGGTGGATGACAGGTGTGCATAGAGGGGCCTGCAGAAAAGAGGCTACTAACTTAAGCTCGTGAAACATGAAAACCATGATGCTTCTTCCATCAGGGACTCTGGTGAAGTGGTGTCCACACAGAGAAGGCCCGACTCTGGTCTAAATGGATGAGTTGCCTAGGAACCTGCCTTGCTTCACGGTCAGCACGAGGACACTGTGTTCTCTGTGGGTGTGGGTGTGGGGTTTGAGAAATGAAGTGGACATGAAGGTCACTCCATGAAGATCACAGGAACTTGGTTCTCTGTCCCCAAAGACTCTAAGAAAGAGACAATGGTCACGTCTTCTGACACCTGCAGATAACTGCTGACCACGGGGACAGGGTTAGATACCTAGCACCCCTCCCCACGCCTCCTGCTACTCTGGGATGCAGCAGTGCAAAGCCTGTCCGTGGAGATTGCTCACAATTTGCACCCCACGGGCCCCCCTCAGCCACAAGGCCACTCCCGCCAGGTCTACTGCTCATGGGTGGACCTGAGGAAGAGGGATCTACCTTCCCACGTCAAATCCCCGAGTCCTGCCTGAAGTAGTGTCTCTGGCTTGATTTGTCTGACTTAATCTCTTTGCAGACCAAATATCAATTTCTCCATCTCCTTTAAGAATCAAAACAGGCACTTCGGGTGTAAACTGAGGCTCAGCAACATGCAGGAGTAGTCATGGAGAAGCAATGTGAGCTCTTCAAGTCATCGTCACACGAGGCTCCCATGTTAGGGCACCATCAGAGTGACGTGTGGTGGCCAGGTTGGCCCCCTTCACCCTACCTGGGCTGAAGAGAGAGGAAGCCAGCCGTCACCCCACTGCCACCCTCCTCTCCATACCCCCGGATGTGTCACCCCTGAATCCACCATACCGTTTAGCATGAGGAAAGTAGCTACCCAGTCTGTGGTTTTGTCTGGGCAGCACAGAGGGGCCCGCTGGCTGGTCTTTTAAACCAGCTCACAACACGAGCTCACCACCCCTGGCTTATAACTCAGCAGCATCCAATGAGCTAGCTTTAAACAGACACATTTTTAAATGAATTGATATTTCGATTAATTGCCAAATTGCAGATGGCTTTTTTTTCAGTATGGGTAGAAACATTTTTTAAATGTTCACAAATCATCTCTACCCATTGCTACCCTTCTGTGTTTACCCAAAGATGCACATGGGAGTTGGAGATGTGTCTCAAGTGTAGAGCACCTGCCTAATAAGGGCAAGGCCCTGAGTTCAAATCCCAGTACCACCAAAACAATAAAAAGATGCACCAACAAGCTCAGACTCCCTACAGCCAGGGTCATGTGCATTTCTGATGTTTAATACCCATGGCGGGGTCTTTACATGGTCTTATTTACTAAAGGTGCTGGGTCTTGTCTACCTTTCCATGGTCTCTAACAGGGCAGGGGTAACCACGGACTTTGGCTAAGCTTGTCTACATGCTTCCTGGGAGTAGGGAAGCCAGCTTTTTCTCTTGGGTTAGGGAATAGAAAATTGCAACCCTGAGGTCATAGTGACAGCTTCAGGACGGAGGGCTGAGGTAAGAACAGCCCCCCAAAGCCTCGCAATCTCCATCATCCAGCTCTGGATCCTCATCTTCTTTACTGGAAGCCTGGGATTCTGGACCAGTTCAACTGAGATTTGTGTGGCCTGGACATGTGGCTGAGGTCAAGGAGGGCCAGCCCACGTCTAGGAAGACATGAATGCTGGACCCATGTAGGAGAAACCATCCGAGAGGCTGGCATAGGAGAACTGGCTCACGGGTGGTCCTTGGTGAGGCAATGGGTATCTGCCAGTGCTCCACCCTCAGTCTGAGATGCCCTCCTCCTCTCACCATCCCCCTGGTAAACATCCACTCCTCTTATGAGATCTGCACATTCCACTGGCAATCCTTCCTTTCATGTGGGCCATGTCTCCTATCCTCCTGCACCATAGCCTCTAGGTGGCACTTGGCCATCAACTCTAAAGGGAGGTTAAACCCAAGTCCATGGCTGCCTCTGGTTCTAGGTTCCTCTACTGCGTCATCTAGAACGTTTGGCTACATATTTCAGCTTGCTTGCCGCTGGGCCCTCGGTGGCCAGCCAGAAGAGTCACTCAACAAATGAAGAAGCCAAGCAGAATGAACTTGAGCTTCCAAAAGTCAGGCATCTTTGCGGAGTCCTGTTCATCTTCATATTCCCAGAGTTTAACTAACATCGTGCTTGGTACTATGCGTTCCGTGTTTCTTTTTGCATGAAAGATAGGTAAATTTATTACCAATTAAATCATCTAGAAAGCCATGAAATATGATTCAGAGGTAAATATGATCTATTTCAGCTTCTGCTCTGAAAACTTGGCTTTGTGTGACAAGCTAGGAACTGACTACTGCTGGTTTGGGAGTTCCTCTTGCTTTGTGCTGTTCCCCTGAGGACATCAGTCTTTCATTGGCTAGAAAGCACTCATGTTTCCTGTTCTCAGTCGTCCAGAGTCCCTTCTTTGCCCATCTATCTTCAGAGTGGCTAGTTAAGGCACTGATCTGCTTGTAATTTCACAACTTCAGACACCTTTAGTGTGGTCTGTGAATGCCATGGTTAGACTGAATCTAATTCTGAATCTGAGTCAACAGAATCAGCAATAAGACTGTTCGGGACTCATTTCAGATTGGGACCAACTCCTGTATCACAGGACTTAGGTCCTGATCTCAGTGGGACATCTGGGATGTCTCTCAATGAAGGGGGAGGTGGGGGTGTCCTACCTGGCCTAGCTGGAATTCTTTGCGTAGCTTCAGGATATACTGAAGTATTTGGAAAAATAAAAGCTGCACCCCCTGCAGACAAAAGGAAAGACAAAACACATGAAGGTCTTTACTTGAGAATGTTGATCTAGCATGAGAGCCAAATCTACCTTGCCCTGGACAATGTGGGAGGAGAGTCCTCCAAGCTGCCTTAAAGACCTCAGGAGAAATGTGTAAGCACGGTCAGAAATGGATTCTGAGAGTAGACAGGAGGCTCTGCTGGGCTGTTTGTCTAAAATGTTTTGTGTTTTCATGTTATAGCTTCTTGTAGGAGCCCCATCTGTGTCCTGCCAGCAATCATATTTTATTAAAAAAATTCTATACTACATGGGTTTCTTTTTAATGCAAATTGTATAAAATCCATCAATTATTTTAAAGAGCCCTTGGAAAGCAGTACTAAAGAATTACAAATATTTTGCCTAAAACTATCTGGACCTTGTTAAAAATTTATCTGCACCTCTATTCAGATGCATATTTCCTTTCTTTCTTTCAAAATTGATGCTCACATTGTCAGCTGGGAAAGTTCCCTTTTCTATGTTCAGTTCATTTGGAATTTGTTGTCCTGCTGGCTGATTGCTTTTAACAATAATAAAATTAATGAATTCAGAGCTTTCCTGAAATTTTCATTCATTGTTAAAGAATTTCTAACAGAGGGGAAAATTATCAAAAAATACGTGTAGCCCAAAGGTGTTTCCTAAGAGGTGGGTAAATTATTTTGAGTTACTTGTTAAGTCTGGACATAAGACTGTTACTAGGTTGACGTGTGTAGCATTAAGTTGGAAAGGTAAACTACCAACTCAAAGCCTTTTTTACATTACATCAGAGGCACAGTATTTTGAATACAGATGACCCAGATAAACCCAAAATAGAGAATTTTAATTGTAATATTCAAACCAAGACTTACATTGTATGTTTTAAAATAAAAGGGTGGGTATCTGAAAAACTGACTCTCTCTGAGGGAGACATTTGGCTTGACTTGCTTGTTTGCAAGGGGTGATCATGGCTTCCTACCCTAACCGGGTGTTTGCTGAGGGTCCCACAGGCAAAGGCAGTGGGTAAGCAGCCCGTGATGCTACAGCCTTGCTGGCTCCATCAGGAGGGGAAGTGGAAGTGAATATAAGCACCCACGGGGCACCAACCTTCATGGTGAGTCTGAGGGAGGGAAGAGGTTAGTCGGGACCAAGCACTGTGTTAAACCCTGCTGGGCTCAGGCACAAAACAGAAACAAAGACCGGTGGTTAGAGATCAGAAGGTAGGCACTGGGTGAGGGACTGCTTTTATATCCTTCAAAATTGTAGTGGTGTTTTCTTGGTACAAAAACTCATAAAAGTGACAGACATCCCCTCCTACTGCCCTTAGCAAATACAAAAGGTTAAATCCAGATAAGTCCTATGGCCTAGGGTGGCATCAGAAATGAAAATGCAACTCCGCCTTGTCTTAGTGAACATTCCCTTAAGAATTAAAATGAATACCCCCCCACCAAAAAAAAAACCCCAAAACAAAAACCCAAACCAGAGACTTCAGAGCAGGTACATCTTTGGTTGCCAGCGCAACCCAGGATCTCGGAACGAATAGCAGGAAATTGTAATCCAGTAAAGATAGGTCAAAGTTATGGCTAACTCTGTATATCTACTTCTTAAAGGAAATCTTTTGGTGGCCAAGGGGTGGGGGAGCGGTGACCAGAAATGCTCGGGTACCAAAGGCTGAAGGACACATCGGCCTTCCCCCTCTGGGTTCTGCCTGGTGAAGCTCTGACCTGTCCCAATCTTCAGCTTAAAGCATGCACCTATGGACAGGGGCCTAAGCTCGTGCTGGGGCAGGGTGGGTCAGCATTACCTGTGTTTCTAGCGTGCATTAACCGTGGAGAGTTTTGTAAGGCTTTATCGACGTCATCGGAAGTCAAGTGTGGAAGAGGAGCTACAAAACAAAACAACAAGCAACACCAAAGTGAAAAGGGGGAGAAAACCTACATCACTGCCCCATGGTAAGCAGGTTAAAACCTAAAGAGGCCATCTTTATCCAGGGGAGAAAGTGGCTGGTACCAAGGGGAGTTGGCTCCTCTCCACCTGGCACCTTCTGATGGCGTGTGGTGTTGTCAGAACATGCAGCAGACTTCTGGTTTAACCTCTGATCGTCAATACACTAGTCCATCTTGCCAGGTTAGGCCAACCCTCGTGAGATGAAGTGAAAGCCCTCTCTGTGTTCATGCTGGATGTGAAGGGAAACTTGGCTTAGCTTTAGGGAAGATAAACTCAATTCCCATTGGGTAGAAATCTTTTGCTTCATTTCAACTTGGGGTGCCATGGAGACTAGTGAGTGGGTGACCATACAAGGCTTCCTTTCTCTGTGACATTCTACTTTCCTGGTTGCAAAGACCCTGGAGGAGGCAGCCAGGTGTTAGAGTCACCTTTTGGGTTCTCACTGGCTACTTGTCACCACGTGAGGGTGCACTGTTCACCTGCATCACAGCATTCTAGCATATCCTCCATGGCATGGGCCAGGGCAGGAGGGTACCGTGCCATGGAGCACTTGGAAACCTCAGAAGCTTGAGTCTGCAAGAACCATGGCGACAGCTATGGCTCCTGTGAGGGAGGGCGGCTTACTCTCTCTGAGGTAGTGGAGATGGGAGAGAAGGATGTCGGCGTTATAGCTCGGGGTAAGCCGCTGGAAGTCATCCTTGGTCATCTTGCACAGCTCCTTCCCGTCGATATTCTGGAATAATAAGATGTCCACGTCTGGAAGGCTATATTCTTTCACCGCCCACTCCAGCCACTGCCGGACATGGTCTGTGCTCCATAGCACAGGATCTGAAAGGAGGTAAAACACACTCAGTCTATGCAACTGAAGATGAGTTTCTGGGCAGACTGTACCCCAGCAGGATTGTCTGCCAAGCCCAGACCCAACCCCACAGCAGCCTCCTCTGGGGCTGCAGGAGTGCCAGCCTATGGCCAGGCTCAGTGACTGTTAAGAAGAGGGGGTAAGATAAAGACAGACTCCACAGCCATAAATCTTTGTGTTTACGGTGACTTGTTCTCCAGGTCGCGAATTATCATAGCACCTGCCTCTTCTGAGGCTCAGATAATCAGGCTTTTACTTTTCTTTTCATTTTTATTTATTCATTTAAAAATGCCTAAGACTAAAAGATATATTTCCTTGAGAAGCTGCTGGTATGTTTATATGGAAATAAGAGTTAGCAATACATTATCAGGAGTGTGCTTATTACAGATTACAAAAATAGTAACAGTATTTGTATAAAATACTGGTGACAGACTTGTGAATAAAGTGGAGGGGAGCTGCCATCCCTGGCCCTCCTGTGTGCTGGCTCTGCCCACAGAGAGCTGTCTGTAACCGAAGTGTCCTAAAGAGAACTTGGATTTGCAACTGACAGCTGCAGGAGCTTGGCCAAGTGAGTGGCGTGGCTTTCACACTTCACAGGGTGAGTCATAGGGGACAGGTATTGTCATCAGGCTCATTGCTATGAGGAAGGGGAGCTGGCATAGGACACAGACAGGACCTGGGGAGTGGAAGCAACTGACCCCCAAAAGAAATGCAGTCTGTGACCCAGTATAAACAGCCCCAGCAGAAGGTCCTCAGAAGGTCCCTTGGGTACAGGGGACAGCAACTTCCTCGAACCTGGGAGACACCTGGAGAGAAGGGAGGGCCCTTGAGTTCTCATCCCACCATCATCTCTCCCTGTGAGCTGAGCTGCAATGGGGAGGCTGTTTCACGTGGAAAAGGAAGACTTTGACCTTTGTTCTCTGGATGAGCCCGGACATCAGGCAGGTCACGGTGCTCTGGTCATCTTAAAGGAGACACACTGTCACTTTGTAGCCAATTGTTTCAGAGCCTTATTTTGTCCCCTAATGCTTGGGACCACTCAAAAATGCAGCAGGTGGGGCTCTGTTGGTTTGCAGGAGTAAATACCAGAAAGAGAAACTCTCAGCCAGCCACATCCCCAGAGCTTTCCTTCCCTTCCTTCCTTCTGGATCTTGCTCTCACCCTTCCTCATCCCTCCCTCCCTCCCTCCTTTGCTTATCTTCTGAAAAGAAAGAAATTATTTCAAATACAACAGATTTCTCCTTATTCCATTCCCTTCCTGGACACCCTAGAAGTCAACACTGTCCTGAAGTGAGTACGTGTGTCATATTTTAACTACATTTTTATTTTTACCATATTGACTGTGGATATTCTTTCGTGTTTTCACGTGGAGGAGTCTGACTGGGTCATAGCCTTGGAATCACCTGGGGAGATGCTTCGCCCTATCCACAGAGATCCTGGTTTGTTGAGACTGGAGGGCAGCCTGGACATCAGGGTGTTAAAAGCTCCCCTTGGTGATTCCAACCTGCAGTGGAGGTTCAGGCCATCAACCTAGGGGCTGCAACTTAAATCAGTCTCCTCCAACCCAGCGCCACAGGCCTTGGCTGGGAGCCTATTAGAAACCCAGACTCTTAGACCCTGCCCCAACCTGCTGAACCAGAGGGTGCAGTGGCAAGACAGTCAGTCAACCCAGAAGCACTGCCTGGGCTGGAAGTGGTGAGCCACAGGGCCTGTGTATCTTCAACCTGACCTCTGAGAACTGGATTTCAACCAACAGTGTAACACACGTGGAACCCTAAAGGGAACCTCTACAAAAGTGCCAAAGGCAGTGTTGATAGAAAGGCATGCATACACACACACACGTAGTGATCCAGATGTCCAGGCAAACAATGCTGTCTGGCTCTTGGGGTTCAGGGAGCCCTGTGCCTTTTGGTCAGGACTTTGCTTGCATGGAAAACATGCTCAAACCTCCAGACTGTTTTCATAGAGGGTTGGTCTCCTTTATTTTGTGTCATGTCAGGGTTCTTCCTCAAACAAAAATAGATCCTACCAAGGTCTTAGGCTACCCTTAACTCAACTTCTGTTTATCTTCAGTACTGTGCAGAGGACAGTTCAAACATCTTCACAGCAGAACCTCCTGCCTTCCACAATCCTACCTGACTCATTCCCTGTGAGTTCTGCCATTGAGTATTAGCTAAACCCTTCTTGTTTTTTTTTTGCTTTTGACAATATGGGAAGTGTGTGTGTGTGTGTGTGTGTGTGTGTGTGTGTGTGTGTGTGTGTGTGTGTGTGTGTGTGTAAGTACTTCTAAGAAATCAGTTCATTCTGGGAATCAATTTTCTTCTCTTAAGGTAGAATCAGATATCCTCAAAATTATGAATAAATCTTGCCTGCAACTCACTGGCTCTGTGTTCAGTGGTGAAGTGAGATCTTAGGAAGACAGCTCTAAAGAGAGGTCCATTCTCTCAATCACCCCCAGAGCACCCTTTCATTGGTCTCTCACTAAGCGAATGGTCATCACAGCTCATTTAAGTTTCCTCAAAGGAGTCATGTGTAAGATCCCAAGACCAGTTCCCTCCAATTCTCACCTTTGGTTGGTGAAAGGCCATTCTCGATCATTGCCAAAATGAGTATAAATCACGATGACCTTTCTGAGAAACACTTCAACATGCATTTCAAATGCTTTTCAAAATGTGCATGCTGGGTGCCAGTGGCTCACGCCTATAATCCTAGCTTCTTGTGACTGGAGGCACAGATCAGGAAGATCGTCCAGTGATTGGAGGCCAGTCCAGGCAAATAGTTCATGAGGCCAAAAAAGGGTTGGTGGAGTGGCTCAAGTGATAGAGCACCTGCCTAGCAAACATGAGACCTTGAGTTCAAACCCTGGTGCCACCAAGAGAAAACAAGTACATAGCTAGCTGAGTGTCACGGCATGCAGCTGTGGCCCCAATTACTTGGGAGGCAGGAGGACCACTTAGCCCAGGAGTTGGAGGCCAGCTTGGCCTCCAAACATAATGAATAAAAATGTGCATAGTTCCTGGCTTAAAAATTCCACATGTAGGAATTTATCCTAAGGAAATAATACAGGATGTGCCCAAGGATTTATTTTCAAGGATGTTCTCTGTAGCGTTGTTTATAATATTAAAACACTGGAAACACCCTAAATATCCATTTAGTAATGTTCTTAGGAGTCTTAGGAAGTCAAAGTTACATTGGTTAAATCTACTTATTGATATGGAAAAATGTTCAGTCTAGATTAGACTTCAAAGTTTCAAAATATCATTGTGATATAACTATTTTGCAAGGTGTATAAACACCTCTGTAGCAAGAAGTTTGGAGGGATATATAGCAAAATACCAACTGAGATGAGGAAATTTAGATTTTTTCTCTTTCACCAAACTGTATTTCCTCTTTTTACAGTAAGCATCTAATGCTTAGGCTAAAATTACTCATAAAAATATATTCATTATTTTAAAAATCAAAGGACTAAATATGATCCCTAGGTGACCTCAGGTCTCCCAGCAGATACCAAAGTCCTCAGATGTAAACAATAACCTACACACATTGGTCGTCACTTAAATCATCCCTAGATAATTTATAACACCTAGTCAATGGAATGTTGTGTATGAGTTGCTGAGTGTACTGTTTAGGAAATAATGCCAAGAATGAAGTCTGCATGCTCAGTACAGGTACAATTTTTTTCTGACTATTTTCAAGTTGTGGTTGGTTGAGTCTGCAGATGCAGAACCCCTGGTTACAGAAGGCTGACTGTGTATGTTAAAGCATTTCTTTTTGGTGGCACTTGGGTTTGAACTCAGGGCCTCAGGCTTGCTAGGCAGGCGCTCTACCACTTGAGCCACTCTGCCAGCCCTGTTAGAGCACTTTTATAAAACTTCTTTCAAGAGTATGAAATTTTAGTCTCTCTTTTACATTTTTTTCATAGAAATTGCTTTATTTGAAAGGAATCAATTACATAAAACTGGGTTACCCCTTTATTGTTTTGGGGTACTTCTGCCCTATGGGCTCCTAAGCAAACAACTGCTGAAAAAAACTAAAGCAGTGCAGCAGAGGATGGTTTGCAAGGGACAAAGCCAAGCCCCTAGCATGAAGCACACAGCCCTTCATTTGTTGACCCACTGTCTTCCTGGGTATCATTCCCTGCGGCCCACTCCTGGCCACCTGCCATCTCTGCACCAATGCCCAACTAGGAAAAAAGGGAGAGTCTTCAGGTGGATTTGTGTAGAACCTGGATTATCAACAAGGATTTTGAAAAAAGTTGCAAAGCTCGTTGTTTAGTGGAACAGAGGTGTTTTCTGAAACACCTCTGCAGAAGAGGGTTCCATGGGCGCAGCTACAGGGGAGGGGGGAGGAAGATGGAGACGAAAGTGAGGGTCAGATCAAAGAGGGCCTTGAGCACCTGCTAAGAAGGCTGCATTTCATGATAGATGAATTTCAGATTATTGAAATTTTCTAAGGAACATAAATGTCTTACATTCTGCCAAGCATAGAAAATTTGGTCATGAAACAGAAAGCCTTTTGAACTCAGAATATACACATTTTGGCTTCTGATTCCACCATTTACTGGGCATAAACATTCACCTCCCCGGAACTGGTTTTATTTTTCTGTGGGCAATCAAGGGAAGTGTTAGGGAAAGCAAAAAGTCAATGACATATGTATGCAAAAAGCACTTTGCCAACAATAGCATACTGCACAGAACGCATCCACACACCAGATTTTGCATTGCAAACTCTGCTAAAATGAAATAAATGATCTCTTTAATTGCTAGAGCCACCTCTTCCTTTAAACACTACAGTGCAATTTATCACATTATTTTAATAGCCTTTGGAGGTCCTCTGTCTGATGAATCACGTGGCCAGGGGTTTTAGAAACATTTCTGTCATTAGTGTTCCATATTTCACTGGTGATAATATGGTCGAAGGGAGAGCTCACCGCTCTGAAAACTCTGATTTGAATCTTGGGATTGCGTGG